AAAGTCACATTACTATATTATTGTGACTTTGATTTCTAACTTCCGAAGAAGAGCCGGTTAGCCGAAGAGGAACAGTTAAACTAATTGGCGATTGTTGAAGCCAAGAAGGCCGCGTAGGGTAATTTGTATTTGGTAAAAAAAACATTTTGAGCCTCCAAAACGACATGCCCATATGCACTAGCACACTCGACAATTGCCGCAACCGGTCTGTAAATTAAACCTCTCTATCTTTTAAATCAGTGAATTGCGTTCTCTATTCCAACTTTATTACACACTTTATTATGTTTCGAAAAGAACAAGAAAATTAAGAGCATTTTCTTGAACATGAGAATTTTGAAGTCTTATTCATTATGTCGCATCAGTAACACACTTAGCATGTCAAACAAAAAAAAATTTAAAAAAAAAAAAAAAATAAGTTTACATGCATAAAGAGGGTAAAAGGCCAACCGGGGTACTAATAGCACTCTATATCTATGCTTCGATTTTAAACTAGAACACATCAACCACCTTTTTTAGTTTCTGCTCCTGTAAGATCTGTAGCACAACACCATGAACGAAAGAAACCTGTACCCAATGATAAACACCACCATCATCCCCAAATTATACCATTTTTGCACGTCCTTCAAATTCTCATTCTTCAAGAACTCTTCACCAGAAACCAAACACCCACCATCAGACCGCTGAAGACACCTCCATCTTCCCTTCGACCCCCCAAACTCGTTTAACAACAAAGACTCAAACGGGTACCGAACTAAGCTCAAATGGTGCATAAACATCAAATATTTCGGTATATCTTCATTCACTATGAAAAACCCCGAAAACAAAGAAAATGTGCCCATTAGTATTGCAACAGACGAGACCCCCATCATAAAATTCGACACAAGTACACTAAATAAAGACACACAAGAATTGGACATCAATAAAGTCAACCAAACGATTAGCAAATATAGAAAAAACCCGTCTAAATCGGCACGTAACCCAACTAGCAAGTAAGTTGGGATAGCAAATAACAACGCCACAATGAAAAGAATCGGGAGGAAAACGAGAGTATTTGCAATTGTGTAGGAAGAAATCCGGTAGGCACCAGTAGATATTTCCCGCATTAAAATCCGGCATTCATTAAAAAAAATTGGGATAGCTTGAGATGATGTATAGAGCAAATACCCTACACTGGATGCGAAAAACCCAATTTGAGTTTGGGTGTGAGATCGGTTAATGTCTTTAAAGAGCATCCCGAATAAAAGCCCTACTAACAAACCTTGGAGAATACTCCCGATGAAAAGCTGTTTCGTTCGGAAAATGTTGTACATGAATCGCTCGCTCAGTATTGCTATCTCAATGGGTAGGCAGTTCACATACTGTAAATGATAATCTTGATTTATGCCACTGAATTGTGGTTTTGGTTCGTTCATGTCTGGGATAACTGTTTCCATCACATCCGGGATTAGGGTTTCGATCACATCTATCGAAAACTCAAGAACATTGACTTGGCGAGGGATGTCATGGCCCGCAGACTTGAGCTTGTGCTCAAGGGAGTTGAGTGAACCATGATGAACCATGGTTCCATTTGCTAATAACACGATTTTATCGAATAGTTCGAGAATTCGGAACCCAGGTTGGTGGATTGTTAAAACAATGGTTTTATGGTGATTTTTAGCCATTGAGTGGAGCATTGAGATGAGTTGAAGAGCTGCACCCGAATCGAGTCCTGAAGTGGGTTCGTCCATTAGAAGTACGGATGGATCATGAACCAGATCGACACCGATCGACACCCGGCGTTTTTCGCCGCCGGAAATTCCACGGTGGTTGTCGCCACCGATTCTTTCACCGGACACATTGCATAACCCTAGCTCCACAAGCAAATCTTGGACTCGAGCTTTCGACTTATCGAGGCGACCAGGAAGCCGTAAACGGGCGCTATAAAGGAGGGTTTCTTCGACTGTAAGAAGTGGAAATAGTAAATCTTCTTGGGTTACGTATCCCGAGACTCGCCGGAAAAAAGTTGTATTCATTGGCCGGTCATTGACGAGCACTTCACCCGAGAGCCGGCAGGGAGGGATAACTCCCCCAAGAACCTCAATCAATGTCGTTTTGCCAGCACCACTTGGACCAGCAATCGCCGTGATTTCTCCTGGTGTCACTTCACAGTTGACATCTCTTAGAATCTGCTTCTTTAAGATGGGATTCACCTTATGCTGCCTAAGCCAACCAAATTTAAGGTATGTCGGAAATATCCCATAAGAAACGCTTTTTGCATTGATTTTGTATTGGGTTTTCAGGTTACAAAAATCTGCTGACTGCACTTGACAAACCATTGATAGGTTGTGATATAGAAAGAAAAGATGAAGGGAATTTGAATAGAAAGAAAACGTTTTCACTCA